AGATTAGGATCAGAACCAATTTGCCAAGCTAGGAGACATTCGTTTCTCCGAGTACCCACATGATAACCAAAAATAGATATTATTCATCAAAGGCCTTAGCACCACCTCTCTGGCTTCTCAAGCTTGATAAATTTCGCAAATCGCCGAGGAAAAATCTCTGTCCTCTTTTGTGTATTATCAGAGTTTTGGAAAATAATTTTGAAACAACTCTAGGTCAACTGCAGAAGAATTAAGGACACAGAGAGAAGCTAGGCAGACTCTACTTGGCATTTTATTTTTTCTTTGTTTCTCTGTTTATATGAAAAGAGCGACGTTGACTCAGCCAATGACACAAGACTCTTTGCACAACATACTCAAAAAGAAAAATGATACAAACGAGACCATAGCAGAAACAGAAATGTCATAGGTTAGCACTATCGAGAAATCAACAGACTCTGACATTATAATCTAGGCTGACGTCGAGACCTTGCAGCTCTTAACTCTACAAACCTTGTGGAGCTCAACTACACTCAATACTCAATTTCAGAACTCAGAATAACATCATCAATTTATGCTAGTCAAAGTGATGGACCAGCCCACACACACTAGTCTAAACTAAATTGCTCAGGTCAAAGTGTGGGCCAGCCACACACATATATCAAAATAAAGATCATCGCAACAACACGTGGTCACTCCCCAATCACAGGAGATGGTCGACTTTGTGGAGAATATCCGGCATTTTTATGTTTTTAACAAATATTTTTTTGCTTTTTTTTTTTTTTTTTCTGATCTTTTCATGTTTTTCATTATTGTATCTTTTTTGTTTTGAAGTCGAATGAGTGCTAAACTGAATAGCCTGGCGAGCCATCTCATTCGAATTTGCAGAAACCCCTGATATACAGATGCAATACATTACACATTTAAAGCAGGAAAGAGAACAAAACACCCGCTAAAGAGAGGTAGCGTTAATCCGGTCCTCCTAGCTTATGGAATGATCTCTAGGGTATGTCTATTACATACAAGCCAGGTATCATACATCCTACGGAACGGGAAGATTCCCTGTGCCTAATTTGAAAGTTACTACATAGCTCACCATATGTACAAGGTGGCATCTACTTTACGGGGTGAAGCCAAGAGTGTGACCGTTACCAAGACGTCCTGTTGGGTCAGTAACCATAAAGATACCCAGAGAAATCAGAAGAGTCAAATAGCCTCTCTTCGGACGCGTCTGGAACTTAGATAGCAAGCCTAACGATAGCAGGGCTTAACATAGCAAGATACCCTTTTGAACAATTCCAAAAAGGTTACAAGCACAACGGCCTCTAAACAGATCGTAAAATCTATAGCGTCGTAGTGTCGCCACAAAAGTCGTATACCTGTGCTACCCCACCGGTATCTGGGCAACACAAGGACTTTGAGTCGGCAACCAATGATGCACATACAACATGAAACATATAATTGAAATAGAAGGTCAACATGAGTTCGAGTCAAGTTTATTAAAATCCCCCAGGCAGAGTCGCCAGAACCATGTTTTTTTTTATATAACCATGCCCGGGGAGGTACCCGGACGTTTAAACAGTCTCGGACTCCCGGAGGATCCTTCAATGTTGATCGCTGCTACGAGTGGCAAGTGTGAAACGTACGTAGGGAGACGTCCAGAATTTGGCAAGCTTTTATATCTGAAATCCGGGCATTTATTTTTCAAAAATAGGACTGCGATATCACGATCCTCAGAAGTCGCCACCTAATATTTAACTTTGGGAAAACTTCAGGAAACCCAAACCTCGTGACCAAAGCCATCTGTTCGTCTGTAACACCAAGACTGCTTGCAGCTCGACGACCTCTAGGTATGAGAGGGAGGTCAATAAGAGCACCCCGCCCAACACCGGATCAAAGATCGAGCACTTTACTGAACCCATGATTGAATTTATCATTTTATTTTTTGTTTCATGTTCGATTACACTATAAACAACATCTACAATTTACATATGTGAAGCATCCAAAGTACTCATAGAATATCCATCTCATTTGGAAGTAATTTGATATAAATGCACTTTGAAGAAGTCTTTACGAACTGACAACCCAAAGGAAATATGAGTTTACCAAGCATGGGAACAAATCTAACATCATTCCAGCAAGTTAAGCGACACAACCTCCAATCCACCTGGCACGCACTTACATCAGAGTTATATCACCATAAGCAAACTCCAGCCTCTGGTATAAGGAGATGCTCAGACATGAGTAAGAAAACACACACACACGGGATGCCCTAGAAGCATCTTAAAAACGTCCAACAATGTTTGACGTGCCGCTGGAACGACCAACGTATGTCCAAACAAAAGTTAAAAAATATGCATTGATCTATATACCAAATACCTAATGGCAATTCGCTAATCTCATGAGAATGCCAAGCTAAAGAATCTGGCTTTTCCATAAAAATATGATACGTGAACATCTCAAGAACATGAAGGGATACGGAATTAATCCACATTAGGAATTTTGATTAAATTCCCACAACATTTGCCCCAAACTTAGGACCCGAATTTCCAAGACGCATAGAAATTAGGGAGCCCAAAGCCATTAACCCGATGATTGGAAAATGAAAGTTAAAGGATGGTAGGGACCAAAAGAAAAGGAAAGCCGAGTAAAGAAGGAGTTTAAGAAAGAGAGGCGGGGGGGACAACAAGGGTAAACGGGAATTCTCTTATCAACCTCCCAACCATCCCCCTATAATTAGACATTTCAGTTACCCCGAACCATTTAAACACAGTGTGTTCGAAAACAGCGTTGTTACCATTGCGATATCTAGTACAGTTAAACAATAGTTGTAATTTCCGAATTAAGGAGAGGATTGAGAGGAGAAAACAATCCTCTCAAACACTTCAAATTATCAATTCGGAAACACACCCCACCCCAAATACACTTCCAAAATAATTAAATACCATTAAAATAAAAAGTACAAAGCTTTCGATTTCTCCTGTTGCACGCACATCCCGCCCTTCTTAACAATACAGAGGACATTTGCACAATATGTGAAACAACGATAAGCACTTACTTGTTGCAACACTGAGGATAGCATCTATATTCATTGAGTTGCAACTATGCTTTCCAAATATTCAACCTAATATAGGTATATCAACAGATATTATAATGTTTACCCTACCATCTAACTTACCATACTGAGGCTCAGCTTCCAGAATATCATACATACAAGAGCTAACTTCCCACTCTCTCTCTTTG